CTCACATCTCGGACTGGTGCATTACAAGTTGTCTGTTTTCACGTCCCAACTGAAAATAAACCCGCTGAACGTGATACCACTAGTATTGCGTTATATAGTGTCATAGTTAAATTAGTGCTGATAGTGTTTTCCGAAAGAAGCCTATTAGAGCTAACTCATACAGGCTCCATGGAGGGTGGGAATTGGGAATTAATTTTATGAATGGCGATAACCTAGCAACCAATGAGCCAATCAGGAGTGGCAGTCTTTCTCTTGGTGGGACATGCCTGGATCATTTCCCAGAAGGCTGTTTTCTTTATCAACACACAGGTTTTGATACATTTGATGAATGAATATTGATAAATTAATATTTGGCAGGAATTATGAATTAGCCTGGCCACTGTGCAAAAGCGACAAAATTCTACATCCACAACTGTTTATAATAGCTTATGTTGGAATTATACAAATGGCATGTTTAAAGACACCTCCATGTTGAAATGACGCTGTTTACCCCCCTTCCCCAGAGAAAACTGCAAATGCTAAAAAAAATATTACATAAAGATGATGCCCCGCTGCTGAAAAGTTCTGGGCACAATATGTTCCTGACTTGGCGCATCATCTCACCTCTCAATTTGTGGAATTTGAATACAGCGTTGAAAATCACACACAGACCCAGAACAGCTGCACACTTTTGTCACCGGTAATTCACTTTGCCATCTCGGGCCGTACAGCGCTGGGAAAGTACAGCGAATCTCATTAAGATCAGAAAGAATGACTCTTTCCGTCCATTGTGCGCCTCGCAATTCCACCGTGATGCGCCCCTCCCTGACTCCATTGCAAAAAAGTAGATCCCGCTATGCCCCATGGTGTTCGGTTTTGGAAAAAAAGAGCAGGGGGAAATCGGTGTTGGTTTCCAGCGAAGTTAATGAAATTGTTACAGCCCCTTATGAAATCGCCGGCGTGTAAGCAATAACATCTGGCAAAGAGATGGCGCATGTAATGTCCGTCAAGCCTGAGCGCGCAGAGCCGTGCTAACGAGAGGAGCGAAGGAGCCGCCGCATCCCAAACATGTGCGGCTTTTAGCGACGATTCACTTCTGTCATAGTTGTGCTGTTGTTGAGTAGATAGTAGGATTTTCACTGGTATTTAAAAGATGGTTTACCTCATTTTCCTTCACAAGTAGTTGTAAGTAACTGATGTTTATTTATCTAGCGCGTTTTACAGAGGTCACTCAAAGAGCTTTACAATTGTTGAGAGCTCAGATATGTTTCCATTTTCTCCACTCGCTCTGATGACGGAAGCGAGACGCGGAACACACTGCCGAATCGAGGGCCCAAACCAACACCATCCGTTCATTCACTCATTACATTCAAAACTATTGTGTTTTTAGTGGTAGGGGAAACCAGCGCAGACACGGGGAGAACATACAACCTCCACACAGAAAGACCTGGAGGTGGAATTGAACCCAGGACATTCTTGCTGTGAAGCACAAGCTTTAACCCCAGCACCACTGTGCCGCACAAGTCATCATGAGCCATTTCTGGCCGCGTCCCACTGGGATGTTGTATTTATACATATAAACAGTACTACAATTATTAATGAGGTATATATACAGTACAGACCAAAAGTTTGGACACACTCTCTCATTCAATGAGTGCCCTTTATTTTCACGACTATTGACTGTAGATTCACACCCAGGCTGTATAAGGGCTATTTGTTCAATAAGGAGAGTGATGGGGTGCTGGGCCAGATGACCCGGCCTCCACAGTCACCAGACCTGAACCCAATCCAGATGGTTTTGGACCTGAACCCAATCCAGATGGTTTTGGGGCTGGCCCACAGAGTGAAGGGGAAAGGGCCAACAAGTGCTAAGCATCTGAGGGAACTCAGACCATTTCAGGTCCTGTTGAAGCTCATCAAAAGAATGCAAGAGTGTGCGAAGCAGTAATCAGAGCAAAAGGTGCTACTTTGAAGAACCTAGAATATAAGACATATTTTCAGTTGTTTCATACTTTTTTATTTAGTATGTACATGATTCCACATGAGTGAATTCATAGTTTTGATGCCATCAGTGTGAATCTACAATTTTCATAATCATGAAAATAAAAATCCCTTTGAATGAGAAGGTGTGTCCAAACGTTTGGTCTGTACTGTATATTCTTTTCAAACCTCAACATGTGTAAAGCTGAGATACCTGACTGTCAAACCACAACATTTAACTGTAAGTAATCAAATCCTGTATGTACCTCACAACAGTTTGGTTACATCACGGGTTATTAGTGGTATTTTTGGCCTCTGTCACATCTTTAGATCAGCTATTTCAGACTAGAGTTTTGCTTTTCAGCCCAAGCCCGAGCAGGCCCGAGCCCGACCCCAAGTTTGGGCCGGGCTCGGGCCTCATTTCAGCGCTCAGCAGTCGGGCTGTGCCGGGCTCGGCCTCCTTTATTTTTTATTCTTTTTATCATTATTATTATTTTTTTAATCATTATTATACTTAATGATATGCATTTATGTATTTATTAATAATAATGTCCGTTGATTGACAACAAGTTATTTAAAAAGTTAATGTATTTATAACACCGTAAACGGCATGTCCTACAGCCGCAGCAGGCCGTGAACGCATCATCCCTGTTTTTCCTGTTGAATTCTATGGTCAATAGCGAACACACGGAACATTAAAAGAAATGGATCGAGTGGAGGAACAAAACAAATTCAGAAGTGGCTAAACTTGCAATTGGAGGGTGAGTGAGTACAACAAGGGAAATCAGATGTGTCGGGCTTCTGTCGGGCTCGGGCCTATTATACAGAGTTAATTGGTCGGGCTTATACGGGCTCGGGCCGGGTCGGGCTTGATTTTTCAGGCCCAAACGAAACTCTATTTCAGACAGAAAAAAACAATTCTCAGCCCAAAGAGTCAAAGTGAAGTGTCAAGTATGCACAAGATGTCATGTTTTCCAAAAAGACAAAGAAGGTATATTGAGATCGGAATTGTTGTTCATTTTACATTTTACCTTTCTGCAGAGATATACATGATGAAAACAAACTGACTTATACAACCCTTCATTAAATATCAAATATAATCTGCATTACAAACACATAAGGAACTTACAAGGAATATATACAAAAAAACACTATTATATTTCCTTTTTTTGTTTTTCGCCGGGGAATATATTGTATAAGATAATGTTATTGTAGATTTATTGTCAAACTTGCTCCACACCCATAAATTGAACCGTGAGTTTCCTTTGAAGTGTAACAAAGAGAAAGACTAATATAAATCCATGTGCTGATTGTTTGTCACCTTGTTTACGTGGTTACCGTGCCTGGCGTGTGTTTGACAAGGGCAGAGATGACACAATCCCACACAGATCGTCACTCACAGCTGTCACACGCTGCCACTGTCATTGTGCAGCATTTTCTAAACACAAAATGTAACAAAGAAACGTGCACAATATTGAGACGAGCACATACATGGATGAGAAGGCTTGAAATTACAACATTTTCAGTCATTTTACCTTCACTATGTTTCCCCTGATATGTGAAGGGGTCAGCAGCGTGTTGGGGTGGCAGTCTGACCTCGAGAGACAGTAACCGGCTCGACAGGCTGATCAGGAAATGTGTCTCTGTGATGGGGAGAAGTGTGGACTCTGTGGGAGCTGTGCTGGAGAGAAGGATGAGGATTCTAATGCAGGGCATCCTGGGTAACTCCAGACACCCTCTGCATGACAATATGGCCGCTCAGAGGAGTAATCGAAGCAACAGGCTCCTATCACTGCGCTGCCGAACGGAATGTTTCAAGAGATCCTTTGTTCCTTCGGCTGTCAGACTGTAAAACAAACAGACTGTACAACAAACCTGACTGACTGTACAACAACAAAAAAGAGTATTCTGCTGCTCGACACCTGGGATCAATAAAGTATCTATCTATCTATCTAGCTGCAGTATTAAGGCTGTTTGAGGGAGAAAAGAAAAAGAATTGTGCGGTGGTTGAGTGGAGCATGTGTGTCCAGTAACAAAAATAGAGAATTAATGGTCACCTCCAGTCTCTTTTCCCAACATTTATGGGTAATAATGGACTCAAAGTTCACTTTTTAAAAATATTGATAATTATCAGTATGTGATTTCAATGTATCGTTTCTTGATTTGTGAAGCAGGTAAATTCTGTATCAACTCTACTATACACATTCATTTAAATATGAATTAATTAATTAATTTTATTTATTCATTGTTCCTGTTCCATCTCTGGATTTGAAGTATAATGATAATGCACACATGTGATCGTGATTTCCCAGTTTGTGCTCTACGTGACTCACTGACCTTTTGTCTTGAGGCGTGTTCTCTGTTTCCACTTTCAGCCGTGAGGAAAGTCAGCAGCAACAACAATCCCACATTCTCCTTTTCTCAAATTACTTTGACTTTTACTAAGTTATAATGACCTTAAATGAAACATTTTCACATTTTCAGAGTGTGGCCGCAGATGTAATGTGCCAAACTGTTGTTGTGTCCTTAGGCACATAGAGCGAGTCTGGTGTGTGTGTGAATGGCTGGTGGTGGTCAGAGGGGCCGATGGCACAGACCGGTTGCCTCGCTTCTGTCAGTGTGCCCAGGGCAGCTGTGGCAGAATAATGATGTGTAAAGCTTTTTTGAGTGTCCCAAAAGTGTTTATAAAACTAATGCATATTTTAACACATTCATATTTGAGTGAATAGAGAAGCTCCTTGTGAGTCATGCATTTTGGGCTGATTGTCTGAGTGAGAATGGTCCTCTTCTTTTCACTTATTTAAATATGAAAGAGGCCATGAATGCATGAGAAAACTTGTGACATTTTTTGAGAGCAATGAACTAGTTGAATTAATTTGATTAGATAATTTTTGTTTTGTAACGGTCAGGTGCCACAGCTATAAATGCTGTAGTTTTGAGGTACTGAGAAACACTCCAAACATCAGAAAAGTTGCACAATGCACCTTTAAACGAAGCATATTTGAAAAAAGGAGCCAGGATCTGCACGGCTCTTCTCCAGTTCACCAACAGAACAAAAGAAAAGTGAAAGTTGGAGAGGAGCAGTGAGCATATCGAGGGCCACGTCTGGCTGGCTGAGCGTACACTCTTCCAGTTCTGAGCACTGAGCAGAAGCGAGAGTCCCTGGCTTCCTCGCGGCCTTGGCCCCAATCCCGACCGTCCAAGATGGCCGCCCCGTGTCCTGAGGTCTGCGTGGACGCCAGCTGGCCGGAGCTCCACTGCTTCACCGCGGGGGGATCCAGCCCTGTGAAGACACCGCGCTGGGGAAGAAAGGAGAAGTCAGATCTGCCAAGTCGCACCAGCCTCACCAGCGCACTCACACGGACACGCTGCCCTCTCTCTCTGCGCCTTTACACTCATTTACTGTCCACTGGGTCCAGCTTCTGGGTTTATGATGCATCTGAGGGACATTTTTGCTAGTCAAAGGAAATCATATTTTTATTAAAGGGTACAAATTGAGATCTATTAAAGAGACAAGAGTGCAGCCCCTCAGACATTATGTGCTATGAAAACTCAACTTCCCATTTGTTGCTCTTCCACTTTGGCGAAAATAAAACAGTTTTTAATACCTGTAATAAAATCAATTAATCATGCATGTTTATGTGAGTCTGGGGACTGGATCTAAAAGACATGTAGTGGGCCTCACTGTGGATAAAACTTTGTGAAGCATCTCAGCTTTAACCAGGACAAAACTGTGGCAAAGACAAACAATCAGATGTGTTAAAGACAGCAGTGCGGTTATTTCCCCATGAAGTGCACTGCAAAAAAAACCACATGTGACCTTAATTATTCAAAAGTTTGAGAAAATGAGAATGTACAAATATGTGGTATTGTTGTTGATGAGTCCAGCCACAGCTGCCTTTCCTCACGGCTGAAAGTGGAATCAGAGAACACGCTCCACGGCAAAAGGTCATAAAATGTGACTTGTAATTTCCTTCATTGAGAGATGAATAAAGTGTATCGTATCTTATATCATAAGTACATCTCTAGAAATGAAATATCAAGGTAAAACTCGAAATTTACAGGAGACAAAACCCAATTATCTTCTCTAAAATATTATTCCTTGGAGCAAAATTGATCTTCCACATACCACAGATTCAGAAAATAATACCGACAGAGAAAGTAAACAAAACCTTGGGCAGGGACTTGAAAAATAGCACCCCACATTTTTGAGAATACAAAAAAACTCAAACAATTTGCAAACTGTGCGGAAAACAGCTTTGTGTGTGGAAATGACACAACATGGCCAAATGCAATAAATCCCACTTTAAAGAATGAGGGGGGTAATTTTCATCAAAGGTAAACCTTAACTATGAGAGACAGAATGAGAAAAGACAAATCCAGAAAATCACATTATTGATTCATTTTTAGATTTGGTCCATTTTGTAATTATCATTTTGCAATGTCATGTTAAATGTTCACTCCAGTTGATCGTTTGTTCACAAAACTTGTCGTCTCATTGTAGAAAACAGAATGGGCATGTCACATCCTGCTGGCTGTGGTGAGAGTAATGGCGCACACATATATGATCTCCTTGCTCCCAGCCTCTCCTTTCATCAGCAGGCAGAAACTCCAGCGATTACATATTTATCAAGCCGTGGCCCTTTCGCCATTTTCCCATGTTCTTTGGCACCTGCACATCTCATTAGAGGCGGAGGGGTCAGGGGAGCGCGGGCTGGCACACACAGTACGCCTCTTCATATAATTAGGGCCCGATACACTCCCGCACAACCCCCCAAGAGGCCCATCCATCCACAGAAACATCCACCGGAAAGAAGCACACTTATGGATGAGCTAATGTGTCCGCATGCATCAAGCAGTTGGTGAGGAAGATGGCATGGAGAGGATAAGCTAATGATTTCACCACTTAGTGTGTGTGTGTGTGTGACCTGTGTTCTAGTTTTCCGACTACCACCCTTTCATGCACACACACCCGATTCATGTGGGTGTTTTGCCAAAAACATGTAACGCACTACGGGGCTAAGGGTCTGACCGCATAGGGTAAGCATCAGAAGAAGGAACGATAAGGAGCCCAAGAGTGTGAATAAAACACATACACAGTTAATAGCTTTTTTTTAGGGAAAATAATATGTATTAATGTTGTTATATATATATATTTTGTTATATGTGATCAAAAGGTTGTATAATAATAATAATAATAACAACGACCTTTTTTGACAGACTGTGGCACTCTGTGATCCCAGAGGTCTCCATTCACAGGTTTTCACCTGCAGGTGGCACCACAATGAACATTTCTGGGATGAAACTCTGAATAAATTGGAATTCAAACATTAGGCCAGAGCGGCCGAATTGGCGTAGAGGCTTATGGCTTTCAGAGTGGTGAGTGATGGACGCATCAGCGCCCGTCACTCACCTTAACGCAACGGTTGCACGCGTCTCCTCAAATGCTTTAAAATTATGTATCATGTGCCATGGAAACCGATACTGTTTTTGCTCAAGACATGTTGAAAACAAATGCTTATTTGATTCTTTTATTCTTTTTTCTTCTGTGCTTTGTTTTCACCCTCTGCACGTGCATGAGTAGTTGCCCAAAGATCAGCTGTGATCGCTTAAACGGTGCACGAGCTGCGCAACAAACTTTTTTTTTTAATTTATATTTTTCTCAAATGAAAACTTTTTATGGCCAATTTGCACAACATTTCGTCAACTGGTTGAACTCCTGGGTCTACGTCATCTGGATGTGGAAAAAAATTGTTTAACTTTATCTCAACACGTGTAGCATCAAAAATTAGCTGCAGAATTTGGATTGGTTAAACGGTGTGCAAGGAAGACAGGAAGAAAAAATCAAATCAAAGCACATATTAAAAGAAAAACACAACATGACAATACCTCAAAATGTCTCCAGTCAAATGATAAACTTTTGAACTGTGTGCCTTCATTTAGATCGTTCTGAGTTGTTTGGGGATCAGATCTCCTCTGCACACATGACTCCAGCCTATGAGACATCTCTCATGCCAAAAACACGCACCAAAAGATGGCAGCAGCTAAGACAATGCAAGCTTTGTGCAATTTGCATTAGCATCTTTCAGAAAAGATTGTAATCTAATTCTGTAATGAGCTCTGCTAGAGCTAGAGGATGTACGGTCGGGAGGCTTCCAAAACCTACAGGGAAGAAGGATCTCATCTCCTGCTCGCACAAATGCACATAAAGCTCAATTATCATGAAAATGACATCCCAGCAGCTCAGCGACAGAAAGCAGAGCTGGAGAAGCACAGAATCAAATGTGCACAGAGAAATTGCTCTTTTTGGTAACTGGGAATGGGGATGTGATCCCCTAATCCAGGTTAATGCACTCCATTAACAATCAATATTTTTATGGTGTTTTGAGAAAGAATGATAGAGACCTGAGTGTAAAAAACCCAAGGACTTTCAAAACACTTTCAATAAAAATAAAAAAAGTATTTTTTTTTTCTCGGAATTTAATTTGATCTAGCAGAGACAGTTGACATGTGCTTTTGGAAAGCAAATAAAAGTATTTATCTGATTTCTTACAGTTTCTTCAGACCATGTCCACTAGGGGTGCTGTTCTTTGGTCTGTGACTCTCTCTGGCTTCTTTGCAGGTCTGTGAGGATGATGGCATTATTATTATTATTATTATTATTATTATTACAGTCACAATAGTTTGCTCAGCCGAAATGAATAAGTCCAAAGATATGAATAAGGTTTCAATTGTGCATGACAGTGTTGAGCTCATTTGAAGTTAAAATGAATAAAGTATTATTGAACTGGAATCTTAAACCTTTGCCAACGAAATCAACTCATCTTGAAGGGTTTGATTTTGCCATTGCCAAGTTTAATTCCAGGAGGCGACAGTGGCTCAGTTGGAAGAGCATTGGTCTTTGGACCCAATAATCGTGTGTTTGATCCCACCACGACCCATGTCATCTTCTCCCACTGATGTCTACTGTCGTTGTGTCCCTGGGCAAGACACTTAACCCTCATGTTGTGTTAGGAACCGGCACCACTGCCCGTTTTTAGCGGGTCAATTTTGACCCGGGGTCTAACTCAGTCCTGACCACTAAAAAGAAATAATCATCACTTGATATAGTTAACTGACATTATATGCATTCAAAACCATATAATCCAAATGTTATTTGATTTTATGGCCCTCGAGACAGATCTTGTCCCTTATTTTTAAGCTGAAAATTAGGTTTTTTCAATCATAATTTACTGAATTTAAAATCCATAGCTAATAATGTTTTCTAACTATAATAGAACAATATTAGAATATAACTTTTGAAAAAAGTTCATCACCCATAAATATATTAATGAGAGTTACGTTGGTGGTGTTAGGGTCACATTTGACCAGCATAGATTTTTTTAGTAAAAGGAGCCTTTGTTCTTCAGAAATCAACTTTTTTTTCAGAAAACATTTTTCTTTTCTGAAGCTTGTTCTTAAAAACTCTTATCCAGTCTTTATGTCTTGGGTCTGTGACTTTGCAAATCGAGTGGGTCCAGGGCCCCTTTTTCCATGATGTTTTCTGATCTTGCTCTGTCTTCATTTTCATGCGTGTTTGAGACCAAACCTTCTCATTCTTTGAAAAAAAGCCCTGTTCTGTTCATTCAGTCTCTTCTTCATCTGAATCTGATGTTTCTTCATCTTGATGTGGATCATCCACAAAATCATCCTCAGATACCATCCATCCATCCATCCATCCATCTTCTTCCCCTTAATCCATTTCTGGGTCTGGGGGGTGGCAGTCAGAGCTGCACCCAGTACACAGAGCACCAGCCCCTCACTGATCCTCCTGCAGGTGGTGAGTCCACAGGAGCTGAGATCTTTCAGCGGGGACTTCGGGCAAAGTGGGGTTAAGTGTCTTGCCCAAGCACACAACGACAGCAGTCATCAGTGGTAAGTTGGTCTTATGGTGGGCTCAAACCCACGACCTTCAGGCTCAAAGGCCAATGCTCTTCCAACTGAGCCACTGTCGCCCCATCCTCAGATACATCTTCCTCTATTTCTGTCCGTACTTATTTTCCGATAATGACCTGCGTACTACACATTATCCCGCTTATTACACGGCTTTATACAAACAGAACACACAACATAAACTTCAGTCCACTTTTAGGAAATGCGGAAAGGTTTATTTAAAATAAGAAAGAAAATAAAATAGTTCCCAAAGGCTTTCCCGTGGCTATGCTAGCAACAGTTAGGCTATCAACTTCCAAACTAGAACTCCCTGGAACTGCATGAAAACTGAACAAAGAATTGTGAACATCAGCGGTGAGTGACCCAAAAATAAACCTAACCTAAATCCATAATTCGATCCTCTGCAAATGTGTCCGAAAATGTGCCGGTATCTACTTCCGGGTTTTTTGGGATCGACTTTTCTCGCATTACATCAGTGTTTTTGTCATGTAAACGTAAACGTAAAATTATGAAAACTTCCGTGCACTTGTATTAAGAATGTATATGTATAATGTATTCTCCGATTAACATTTAATTGCGTTGATTGATTGGCATTTGCGTTTAATGAGCGTGGCTAGCTCCGGAGTGGCCGGAACTACTTCCGGGTTTTTCATGATCGCTTTTTGACACAGATACATAGTATTTTTGTCTTGAAGACAAGAGCAATTAATTCTGAAAATTTCTGTGCACGTGTGTGAAGAATGTATATGTATAAGTATTCTCCGATTAACATTTAAGTGCGTTTATTGAGCGTGGCTAGCTCCGGAGTGGCCGGAACTACTTGCGGAGTTATCCACGCATCTGAAAGACAAGCAGAGAGTGCGTTGCCATGGGCAGCGGCCATTATTGTTTTGAGAGGTCCGTTATAGAAAATAATGACCGGTAGAACGTTTTGAATTTACATTCAAATCAATGGAGCATTCTGCCGCTGCTGTGAGGAGCCGTGTAATAAGGGACAATAATGTGCACATCCGTCTTCTCCAAAGACTTTTCCTCCACGAGGATGTGATCAAGAACCTCACGGACCGTGCAATGTAAAGATAAAGGTGCATTTTATTTATCTCCAAAGGGCAATTCCTCCTCCGCATTTGACCCATCTTGATGCTACTACGGCCTTTGTCAGGAGCAGTAGTCACTGTAGTACTGCACCCAGGACCCAACTCCAGATGTTGGTCAGAACCAGAGCTGGAGGATTTTACTTATTGCGCATGTTTTTAGTAGTACAGGGAACTGGAGCACCCGGAGGAAACCTACACAGGCACAGAGAGAAAAAACTACACTCAAAAGGCCATGTGCAGGATCTTCTTGATGAGACGTAAGGGGTTGTCTGTGTATGTGTGCGCAAAAAAGTGTCTAGTCAGGTCAAGTTTGAGTACAACATTTCATCTTTTTGTTCACAAAGTATAAAATGTTAGTATGTCAGTTCTCACTCACGTGGGTCACATACTGTACTGTGAGAAAAGATTTGTTCTCGTGGAGAAAGGAGATGAAGGTGGGGTCACACCTGTACACCTTGTACTCGAGTAAATGTTTATTCCTGTGGAGGGGGTGGGGGTGAGAAAAGATGTTTTCACTCGGAGGAAGGAGGTGGGATCATATAATTTATGAATTTTACATAGTTTTACCTGTTTAGTGTAGTTTTACTTTGCCGGGTCAAAAATGACCCTAACACCACAGTCGTAACTTTTTTTCTGCCGATACTTCCAGAAATGTCAAAATCGTAAAATATAGTTTTGCTGTGTTTATATACGTGTTGTGGTGGATGTCACTAAGCATCATTCTCATAAGATCAACTACATGCAAGTTATTACATATTATAA